AGCACGACACAATCTCAGTCTCGGACGCCGTCGCCTTGCGGTCCCAGATCGTCACCTCGTGCGCGGTGTCCGAGTAGTTGGGCAGCGGAACGCGCTGCAGAAGGCGGAAGTGCTTCATGACGTCGCACTCGAATTGACGGTCGCCCGTCTCGCCATACCACTCGCCCACTAGAAGAACGTGAGCACACAGCACCAACAGCAAAAGGAAGCGTACCATGAATGAGGTACCGGCCCTTGTAGTGGCGGAGCGCATCGCGGGCAAGCGACGACTGGGGCGGCGCGCACAGGAGAAGCGTGCGGCCCTTGAGCGGCTTGAGCTCGAGCACCTCGGCGCCGCCTTCGTAGACCTTGGTGAACGGCGGCACGATTGCGTCGAGTGTTTCAATGATCTCGTCATCGTCGTCGTCAGCGGGCGCCGCGTCCGTCGACCACTTGAGCTTGGACTGCTTATCGAACGGGAGGATGTCGGCCTTTTGCTTGAGCAAGAGCGAGCTCCAGTAGCCGAGGCCAGCGCCGATCTCAATGAGCGGCGAGTGCGCGGCGATGGCCTTGAGCGCATCTGGGTGCGGGATGGCCGGCGCGTAGAGCTTGTCGAGCCACACACGCACGTTCTCGCGCCACTGCTGCAACAGCGGGTACGCGGGCACGGACGCTTTCGGCTTGGCGACGACCTTGTGCTGGTTCATGCGCTGCTTCTTCGTCAAGCGCTTGTTGGCGTTGGTCGTCGAGCGGCCGAGGTCTGCAATTGCCCTGTCCATTTCGCCGCCCATACCCATGCCCGGCTCGTAGAAGAGCTGGATGCCTTCGCGCAAGCGGGCTTGAAGCATCTCAAAGAGCACGAGCGGGTCCTTGTGGCGCTTGGAGATTTCGTATGGCGCGTGAAAGTCATCCGGAAGGCCGTCGCGGAGGAGCTCGGTCGCAACAAAGACCTCGTAGTCGCGGTCCGACGACGCGCCGTGCGTCATGAGCAGCTGAAGGTACTCGTCGGGTGATGGCACGGCGCCGCAGCCGCGACCGTAGAGGCACAGCGTCGTGTGGTAGATGCTAAAGTACATTTGGTCAAAGCAGCAAGCGAGCTTGATGCGCATCTCGGAGCGGCCACTCGCTGCGACTGCTTGCATCGCGGTCGATATGAGCGCGTGCAGATCCGTGTTGAGCTTGGTCATGAGTGGGCGCTCTGAGGCGAATTCCTTGTCGTTCTGATGCTTGATGAGGTGGTCCTTGAGGTGTTCATTCAGCGCGCTCGAGAGAAGATCGAGGCTCGCTTGCGTCCACGCGTGCGACCCGACAACCGAGCCCGCGAGCCGGCCGAGCACAACGATCGAGTGCATGAGCCCCATGAGCACTTGGCCGTGCAGGCCCTTGGCGTCGTCGTCGCGTTTGGTGAAGACGAGTGAGTGGAGGAACACACCGTGGTCGCACTTGTGGCACTGGTCGTGCTTCTTCTTGTCGACGCCATACCCGCGGCAGTTGCAGCCCGGTGACTTGCACGGACCGACTTGACATTGCTTGGGCAGGAGCTCGAGAAGGCCGGTCGCGTCCATCTTGGCGGGCTGCGCCACGACGGCCGACGACTTGCGCTTCGAGGATGGCTTGCGCTTGGCGATGTTCTTGGCGACGTCGTCGTCCATCTCGAGGCCGTACTCCATCGCGACGGCGGCGATCTCATCCTCAATGAACGCGATCTCGCTCGCGCCGAGGCCGACGCTCTTCTTGCGCTTCTTCTCCCGGTTGACCATCGCTTGGCTTGTGCTTTGGCGGGCTCGCTTGGCTGCGGTTCGATTTTATTGGTTGGTGGTCTAACATGTGCAGTGACCGCTTTTTCAACTTGTTGTTTGTATTGGATATCCCAAGCACGATTTTTGTATCGGTCGCGTGACACTGCTTTCTTAGCCGGTTGATAACCGGTTGCACACACTGGTGGTCAAACCATATGGCTTGGTGTGGCCAATCGCTGGGATCGGTTGTCGTCAGAAGAGGGACGAGAGCCGCCGCTCCTCACGACCATACAAAAAGCTATATACTTCGGGTCGCTTTTCCGTGCACCAGGCGTACACTTTACTTGCCCATCCGTTCAAAAAGACAGTAAAATTACACACACGGGTGCAAAATTCTAAAAGGATTAAAAAGCACCCATGTCCATACAAACAACAAGTACATAGAATATCAAGGCGCTAATCAGACTGTGTCCACCGCCCGACAGTGGGATTTACGGTGCCTCGGAAATTAAAAACGGTATTTTAAAATTCAAAAGCAATTGCAGAGCGTGGGACAGCGTATCGCAGTATCAAATATAATAAATCCAGGACAAAATGCCAAAATGCCGACCTTTTGCACCCAAAATACACTTGGTGGTTGTATGGGGTATACAAACTATGAGACGCTCGTATCCGCCACGACGAGCGCGGCCATGTGTTTTTTTGCTACTTTTATTGTTGGCTACATTTGTGTAGAGAAAGGATTGGAATTTTATTATTTTATTGCGTCGCGTCGGGTCCGACTCTACGGACTCCGATTATTCGGCAAATCCCGGCGCAAGCGGCAGGCCATCCTCTGCTCATGCCGAATCATGTCCACTTCTCCTTGCCTACGTGGCAGCGCGACGACGACGATGATGCCGAGAGCCTGATCCACATCCCGCTCGCGGCCGACCGGCCGACGCCGGTCTCGTCGTCCTTCAAGTCGTCGCCGCCCGTCGAGCCCCACCCGATGGTCGCGCACCGCTGGCGCAAGATCCAGCGCATTGTCAAGACGGTGCTGCTGCTCGTTGTCGTTGTCTGCGCCAGCGTCGGCCTGTACATGCGCTTCGCCGGCCACCCGACTGCGGTCGTGATGGACCCGGCGCTCGACGAGGTGGATCTGCCCATCGACCGTGTCGGCGCCCTGTGGAAAGACGACTTTCAATGCCTTGGCTGGCGCGCGGTCGCCGGGTGCGACCCGACCGGCAAGCGCCACCCGACAGCCGACCGTGGTTGCGACGATGCAATCACGCGCGACATGGCCGGCTACTGCGAGGTGCGCAACCGCACAAGCGGCGAGATCTACCGCGTCATGGCCACGACGTGCCGGGGCATCCACGAGTACGGCTCGTTCACGTGCAACATGGCCAAGAACTTTACCGACTTTTCGATTCTGGCGGCGACGTACAAGCACGTGCCAGCGCTCCAGGTGGCATCGACCCCCAAGGCATCGCGGGGCATCGTCATGTCGATCTACCAAGAAGCGCTGCCGAGTGTCTTTGCGATCGTACGCACGCTGCGATTGCACAAGTGCAAGTTGCCGGTCGAGCTCTTTTACCGTCCGTCCGAAGTGAGTCTCTCGAACCCGATCGTGACGGAGCTCATCTCGCACTACAACTGCCGCCTCCGTGAGATCCGCGACCCGCAAGCCGTGCGCTTCAAGACCAAGCCATACGCGATCTACCACAGCCAATTCGACCACGTCCTCTTCCTCGACTCGGACAACATCCCAGCCAAAGACCCGACGTACCTCTTCGAGTCGCGCGAGTTTGTCGCGCACGGGGCGGTCTTCTGGCCCGACTTTTGGCAGGCGCCGTACTCGCTCTTCAACGTCAACAAGCAGAGTCTCCTTTGGCAGCTTATCGACATGCCGTTCTGGGATACGTTTGAACAAGAGAGCGGCCAGCTCCTCATTGACCGCCGCCGGTCCGAAGATGCGCTGCACAAGCTCATGTTTTACTCGGTGGGCGACATTGCTGTTGGGGACATGCTCGAGCAGCTCCAGCTCGTGTGGGGCGACAAGGACCTCTTCCGCCTCGCGTGGCGCAACACGTCGACGCCGTACTACTTTGTCAAGCAGCCGCCGGGCCTCGGCGGCATCTACGACGACAACTCGCGCTTCTTCTGCGGTGTCGCCATGATCCAGTACGACATGCACGGCGACATCCTCTTTGTCCACCGCAACACGGTGAAAATGACGGGCAGCCCGAGCCAGAGCCAGCTCATTACGCATCTGCAGCAGTTTACGTACCGCGACGGCAACACCCACATGTACGAAGTCGCGCTCCGCGGCAACCGGCTCGGCATGAAGAGCTGCTACTTCCTCCCGGACGGCGTGCCGAGCATCGTCGAAGGCCTCGAGAAGTCAAGCATTAGCAAGGTCGAAGAGACGGCGCTGCAGTATGCGATCGAGGCCGGCAAGCTCATCGACTATGAAGACACCAAGTATTGGGGCTCGACCATGGAGTTCCTCGAGGTCCTTGCGCTCTACACGTTCTGCGCGTTCGCGCTCTGCTTCATTCTCAACTTTGCGTTCTTCCGCTTCTACTACGTCGAGAAGAAGCTCTACTGGTTTGACCGGTACTCGGGCAAGAAGCGCAAGTACTCGACGCCCATCGTCTAGTGTATCAATCTCTGTCGACTAACTTATTTTGATAATACGCGTTTCCGCTGTACACAAACTCGACCGACTAAACCTCTGACGAGACCTCGAACTCGCATCGGACCGGCGAGCACGGTGGAAATGACTGCCGTCCCTTTAATCTGGTGTCAGGACGAGATGACGACATAACGACGCGCGTTATCACAGTGGGACGCGACCCACATGGCGCGTTGAGCGTCCAAGATCGGCTTCTGAGAAGGCACACGTTGGACGACAACGTCGAACGAGACTGCGATCAGATCGCACGTCGTCTCCCTTCTGCAGCCACTCGACGAGTAGCTCCGAGATTGCATGTTCGTACACTGTCAACGCCAAACTGCCGCTCTTTGCAGCCACTTTTGCTGCCGTTAGGTCGCCTCACCCCGTCGTTGCATCGTCCTCGGCTGCGACTTGGGTACGCTCACCGTTGAGAGCTGCCGTCGAGACTACCTCGTTGGTCGTATCCCCTTGGCTTATGCGCAAAAATGTCATGGCGTTGGGATCTCTCGCCAGATTTTTGGCTCGTTCTCAGCCGCAGCCGTTGCACGCGCCACGTGTGATTGGCGCGTTAAGTTTAGCCGCGTGTTGTGATCGCCATCTTATTTTGACTTGGGCGATGGAGCGGAGGTTGTCGCTGCCCATGGTGGCCCGCCGCGCGCGCAAGCGGTCCAAGTCGACCTCGGTTGACGCGCTGACGCCGTGCGCGTCGACGGTGCTTCCGCGCCGCGTCTCCCGCGCCCTCGTAAGTCTCCTTGGCGTCTGCGCAGTGCTCGGCGTCTACCTCGGGCTCACGGCCTCGTACATCTCGGAGGAGATGCGCATGAACTCCGCGCTGGACGGCGTCATGCTGGACCTGCAAATGGACCGCATCCGTGACGTCTGGACCGACGAGACGTTCGAGTGCCTCGGCTGGCGCGCGACGAGCGACTGCAATCCCAGCGGCCGGCGCGAGCCGTCCAGTGACCGCAGCTGCAATGCAGCCATCGCGTCGACGATGGCAGGCTACTGCGAAGTGCGCAATCGGTCGAGCGGCGCCATCTTCCACGTCATGGCAACCACGTGCCGCAGCATCGACGACGACGTCGTCTTCACATGCAACATGGCGCGGGACTTTACCGACTTTAGCCTCCTCGCCGCCGCGTACACAGAGCCGCCGCACATTGCATTCGACATGCCAGCGTCGCCGCCGTCCAATGGCATCGTCATGTCCGTCTACGAAGACGTTTTGCCGAGCGCCTATGCTGTCGTGCGCACATTGCGACTCCACGGCTGCAAGCTGCACGTCGAGCTCTGGTACCGGCGCGAGCAGATCGACCCGCAGCACCCGCTGCTCCAAGAGCTTGTCGCGTCGCATCAGTGCGCGCTGCGCGAGATTTTCGAGCCGACGGCGACCCATTTTCACACCAAGCCGTATGCGATCTACTACAGTGCGTTCGAGAACGTCCTCTTCCTCGACTCGGACAACATCCCCGCCAAAGACCCGACGTACCTCTTCGAGTCGCGCGAGTTTGTCGAGCACGGGGCGGTGTTTTGGCCCGACTTTTGGCACCCGCGCAACACGCTCTTCAACATGCAGCCGCAAAGTCTCTTGTGGCAAGCGCTCGACATGCCGTACGTCGACATGATGGAGCAAGAGTCGGGGCAGCTCCTCATCAACAAGAAAGCGTGCTTGCCTGCGCTGCGCAAACTCATGTTTTACTCGGGCCATGCGCCGCGGCTCCTCGATGCGCTCGAGCTCGTCTGGGGCGATAAAGACTTGTATCGGCTCGCGTGGCTCAACACGTCGACGCCCTTTTTTCTGCAGCCGCGCCTCCCCGCGATCGGCGGCCTCTACGACCCAACGTCCAAGTACTTTTGCGGTGTCGCGATGCTGCAGTTTGACGCGGCCGGCGACGTTCTCTTTGTCCACCGGAATACCGTCAAGCTCACGGGCCACGTGCGCGAGACGCCAGTGCTCACGCACGTGCAGACCTTTACGGGCGACGCGATCGAAGAGTACATCGTGTCGATCCAGGGCAACCGCATGGGCCAGTCGTCGTGCTTCTTCTTAACTGCCAAGAGCGTCGTGACGCCGGTGGAAGAGACGCCGTTCGCGACGCTCGAGGAGACGGCGATCCAGTTTGCGATCCAAGGCGCGGTTGCGTATGCGCTCAGCGAGCCCGACGACCGGCAAGTGCTGCCCCAGAACGCGCTGCTACTCGTGCTACTTGTGCTCTTCGTCTTTGGCTTTGCCAACGTGGCCATGCTGCGCGTGACGACGCGAAGGTCTTGGCTGCAGCAATTCCGCGCCAAGCGGAAAAACTCCGTGCCCCTCGTCTAGTCGGTCAGCAAACCACATAGTAGAAGTGCCCCAGTCGAACGTAGTACAAGTAGAGCACTAACACACACCAAACCCTTGGTCCACGCACTAGGCGTCTTCTTGCATTGAGGACGCGTTGCGGCGCACGTAAAAGAGTACGTAAGCCTGCGCGGAAATCGCGTCTTCGGCCGACGTCGGGCTCGTCATGCTGTCGTTGAAGCTGTACCAGCGGCCGTTGCGCGGGTTCTTGGCCTTGGCCGTGTAGTGCCCGCCGCCGAGCCCGCCCGAGTGTTCGGAGACCGCGTACAAATCGTAGATGGCACCGCCCGTCGACGGCCCCACAACAAACTCCGACACGTCGAGGCCTACACCAGGAAGAGATAGGGTCTCCGAGTACGATCGAGGAGAGCAACCTGTGATTGGGAAGCGCACTAGTGTCGAGATCTTGTCGCGGTGCAAATGGTAGTGGCCTTGGTTGTACCGGAAGCGCTTGAGGTGCAAGAGCAGGATCGTCGGCAGCGAAAACAAGTCAAATTTTTTGAACGCGCGCACATGGGCCTTGCAGCGTGGGCAGTACCACGTGTCCTTCTCGCCGAGCTGTTCGCGCTCAGTAAACTTGGCAAAGCACGACCGCAAATCCAGTGCCGGGTCTCGTCGCGACCGGAGCTCGAGCGCCGACGGATGCGTGTTGCGCTGGCGCGGCGCCGCGTCATTGTACCCGGTCTCGTATCTACACATCACGTTTTCGTATCTACCAACAGTGACGCACGAGCGTACCCGTCGGCCGTCCACTGCAGCGTAAACGTAAATGAACCGCGCACAATGTCGGCCGAGAGACCGTCGTCGGCGCTCTCGGGCAGATGGCGCTGGAGGTACTCGTCGACGCGGGTGTTGGTCACGTGCAGCACGTACGGTCGCTCCGTACACGATGTTTTCACGACCCGTTGCACCGCGTGCGCGACCTTGGCGTGGATCTCGGCGAGCGACGCCGTCCTCGCAAACGAGACGAGCGCCGGGACTTGGAAGAGCCGCCGTTCAATGCGACGCATCTTGGCATGGTTGCTCACCGACGAGTACCGGAAGCTTGGAAACGTCGCATCGTTGTCGTCGTCGTCTTCAGGCTGACGAGCGTCGTCGCTCATGCTGCTCGGGGACCCGTCCGGTGACGGCATTTGGTGCTGGACGGCCACAAGACACATGGCGCGGTCGCTTGGCGACGGCAAGTTGAGGTTCATCGACCCCGTCGACGTGGTCGCAAAGAGACTCGTGGACCGAAATTCGTACGCGTCCAACGAGTGCTCAAGCTCGTACGCAACGATAGTGTCATGGGAGCTGTCGAGGATCAAGTCGGTGACGTCGGCGGCGTCAACACACACGCTCGCGATGCGGTGGTTCTTGACGCGCGCGAGCAGGAGACGGTCGATGGGGATGCCCGAGACGGTACTCAACGCGGCCTTGGCATCGCCCATCGAGCCTTCTTTCGGGACCAAGAACCCATACTGCGTCGGTATGGCCCCGTCCGCGCCATAGACCGACACAAGGACTGATGTCTACGAGTGTCCATGAGATACATAGGATCTGAGATCGCGTACCTCGTTGGGCAAGGGCAGAGAGAGACTCATGTATGGGTCAAACGTGATCGACTCGTGCTGGCACATGGGGCACGTCACATGGCTGCGCAGCTGACCCATAAAGTGGTCCGTAATGACCGAGTCGTTCCGGCGGAGATACTGCTGCCACGCTTCTTGCGCGACGACGACGTCTGGCCGGCCGTTGGCTTCAATGGTTTCGGTCACTGGCTTTCGCAGCACGCGGTTGAGGTCTTCGTGGAGGCCGTCGAGGATGAAGCTCAAAACTTCCTGGCTGTCTTGTTGGTTGTAGCCTGCAAACGCGGGCGCGTACTCGCCAATGACGTACTTGAGGTCGGTGGGCGCCACGATATCAACTTCGCCCGACCAGAGCTGCTGCAAGAGCTTGGCGAACGCGGATGCAATCTTGCCCGACATACCGAGAGGGTTGGCCGTGTTGATCTCCGACTCGTACACTGGCGAGCCCGACTCGGTTCTCGCCAAAAAGTAGTGCAGTAGCGGTGCCGAGTTGCTAAGGCACTGGAGCACGCTGTTGAGGAAGCACGTGTTGCCAAGGTTGCGCAGCCCGACGACGCCGACAACGTCCGGCTTGCGCTTTCCGTACGAGTACGACGACGACGAGTAGGACGACGACGAGTACGCCGACGACGACGACGGGCGACTGTACGAGGTTGACGACTGCATGTACGAGCCGGATGAGTGCCCAAACTGGGGGGCCGCAGCGACCGAGGGTGCCACCGGCAGCTTCTTGACGTGCTCGTGGGCCTTGGCGACGGCTTCGTTCGTGACGTCAACGACCGCCGTCGAGCGCTCCTTGTCCATTTTGAAGTCGAGCTCAAGCTTGATTTGTCGGCCGTAACATAGCTTGCGGGGGTTGCCGCCGGGCCACGCAAGCGGCCACGGCTCGTCCTCAATCTCCGAGGACATGACGCGCGTGATCGTGGCAAGGACCCAATCGCGCGTGAGCCCTCGGTTCTCTTTCGGGCAGTAGTCGACGTTGTCGCCCACGCAGAGACCTTCTCGCCAGCTTGTCGAGATCGTGTGCAGCGGTGCGAGACGGTCCGAGTGCAGCGGGATCTTCTCGTCAAACTTGGCGCTGTTCCAGCTGAGGTAGTGCACAATCACGTTGTCGCTGCTCACAGCGACCACTGATGCTTCGTACCTACGACGCTGTCTTAAAGGCGCGACAAGGATCGCTGCCGTACCACTTGTTGCTCGAGTCTTTGGCGTCGATGTAGTCGCCAGGCGCCAGCAGATCGCGCCACCCGTTGGCTTGGACGTTGCTCATAAAATGGAGGCCGTTGCGCTTGTCGGACGGCGTCGCCTTGTCGTCGTACGACGTCTCGATGAGAAAGTAGCAGTAGTCTTCATCCTCGTCGTCCTCCGGCACTGGCAGCATCAAGTTGAGCTCCCCAGCCGTAAGGCTTGACGTTGCTTGCGCGAGGTTGCTTGACGGGTTGACGAGGGTGCTCCAGCTGGCGTCGTCGAGCCGCGACTTGCCGCAGAGTCGGATTGACGCATTCCACGCCGCCTCGTTTCCTGCATGGTCCGTGCCCGCGAGCTCGGGAAAGAGCGTCGGGAACAACTGAGTAATGTGGCTCCACACGATCGCCTTGAGCTCCGTGACCTCCATGGACGAGTCGATGAGGATGTGCACGAGCTTCCCGCTGCGCTGTCGCACCGGCGCCGGCGCAGTCATGCCATTGGACCAGTACCAGACCTATGGTTTCGATTGAGATGATGATCGAGATGCAAGCACAATGGTACCTGCGCCATGAGCGGGTAGAGCTCAATCGTCTTGATCGCGTTGCGGCCACGGAGCACCACGTAGCGGGGGATCTCGACCTTGGGCTCGGGCAGCGCGTCCCACTCTTCTTGGTTGAGCAGCTGGAAGTCGACGCCCTCCATGAGGCCTCGGCGCAGGCCCGTGCCACTCGGCCCAAGGAGTGGCGGCCCGTCGGCGTCCGCCGGCGCCACGTAGAACACTTGGCCAACCTCCATGCCGTTCGCAGCCAAATGGAATGTCCGGATAAGAATGCCGGATACGGCGGGGGTGGCGCGACGGCCACATACGTGGCGGCGCGTCCGGCCAACGGGTCCTGCGTGATGGCCAAAGACGCGATGCAGAACGTCAATGGAGCCAAGCCAAGGACACGATGCGAATAAGACCGTATTTCTCTCGATGACGTCGATCGATGGCCTCCACGGGTGCTCTTCGGCGACGCTGGTCGGGACGCTTGGGGTCGGACACAGCGCTTCGTTCGCAGCATCGACGCTTTGCCTCACCAAGTACATAGTTGAGCTTGCGGTCGCAAGTGATGGCGTCCTAGACTCTCTCGTCTCGGCGGTGGTTGGAGCGGTTCGTGCCAGGTGGAGCAATGAAAGCGTCGTCCATGGCAACGAGCAGCAAGAGGACTCCACGGTCTCTCGTAGTACAATGGTGCTCTCTAAAAGCTCAGTAGGTACTATGTGGTGGTGCGCAATCTCTTTCACACCGGAAGATGCTGCGCGAGGGTCCAACTCCCAGCAGCTTCCTTGTGTCCTTGGCTTGGTCGACCATAGGGAGCGCCATGCATAGTTGCAACGGTACAGGACTCTGCGCCGTCGCGATCGAGCATCCTAGACCGCGAACGATCAACGATCGCTCGCCCCAAGTACGCGCTGTCAGCAGGTTGCTTGTGTCGCCAACGTGAAATGCTTGCGTTGACCCTGCAACACCTTTGCCGAGACGGCCAGCGTCGTCCCTTGTAACTTGCATCCACGCAGACCTCGACGCCGAGCTGCGAGACGACCGAACGTTAGCGCAGCGCGAGGCAGGGCGTGCTCGCTATCAGCGTGGACAACGTCCTCGACCAAGAAGAGCTCGATGCGAGGTGCTCGCAAGCGGCTACATTGTGAACAACGTGGCCACCGATGGATGCAGTCGTGGGCTCCACCTTGGTCACGGTATCGGTCCACGCTGACGTCGATGGTCACGCCGTAGGTCGTTGAATTCGAGCGGCTAACGCACGGCCGTCGCGGCTCTGCTCTGGTACATGTGCAGTGCGCATATGATTGCTGCTGGAGCCAGAGGGTCGGGCGCGCTCGCAATGTCGGCAATACTTATAGCATGAAGGGCTCAAGGGTGCGTAGGTGCGCTCTTGCGGCCGATGCATGAAGTGGCGTCGACTCGCATACGCCTGGAGCAGCGAGCCTGGAGGACGATCCTGCCGAGGCCGCCCGCTGATGGTTGTTGAACCGAAGATCCGCCCACCGTGGGATATAAATTCGTAGGCATTGTAAAATAAATGTTATCTTGCGCTTTGTAGCTAACGGTGTGAAATACAATAAAATAGTGGTGGCGACTGGGAATTCTATTATCGCTTCGACGTTTTTGAACACGCCAACATCGGACGGGCGAGCGATGACGGAGCGCAGGTTCACACTCCGGAACGAGGCCGATGGCGACGCGTCGCAGGCGGCGCATAGCATCGTGCGCTTCCTGCCGCCCCCGGCCGTCGCCGACGCCAACGCATTCGAAGAGCGCGGCCGCGTCCACGCGACCATGGCTATGTCGCTCGCCGACCAGCGATCTTTCGCCGATGTGCTTGCGCAGTTGACGTTGCTCACGGTCGTTGCGCCGCTGCCCAAGTGGCGGGGCGTTGGCATCGTTCACGTCGGCGACTGGGGCCCCCACGCCGTACAGCTCGCTGCCGACCAATTGCATGAAACGGACCAAGTGCGCTTGACGCTGTCGTGCGATTGTTTGCCAGACGCTGCGACCTCGCCCGACGACGAGCGCTCGACCTTGTACCGCGTGCTCTTGACGCTGCAAGAGCAGCTGCAGCCTGAGGAGGCCGTGCCCGAGCGTCCGCGCCGCGTCAACAGCACGTTTGAGCGCGACTCGCCCGACACGAGCGACGAAGAGAAAGGCCACGGGACGTCGCCGCCGCCGCACCACCGCACGCCGCGACGGTCCGAGTCGGCGCCTGTCTACAACGAGCCGCCGACGCCGCCGTTCGAAGACCTCCCCGTGACCCGCGCTCGCTCCAATACCGTGCGGTACTTGCTCTCGAGCCGCGAAGGCTGGGGCGGCATTGCGTTCGAGGGCTACTTGAACAAGAAGGGCGACCTCCTCGCGGCGTGGAAGTCGTGCTACTGCGTCCTCGAAGGCAAGACGCTCGCCGTCTACGAGTCGCGCGAGGACTTCATCGCTGACGTCGGGCTCAAAGTGCGCATGCTGCTGCTGGCGGTGGACGAGGAGAACGGCGCCAAGGCCAACGGCTTTAGCATTCGCACCGAGGGACACAAGGTGCAGCACATGGCGTCACGCACGGCGTTTGAACGCGACCAGTGGATCCGCGCCATCAAGGTACACCACTTCTTCGCTTCGCTCTTCCCTTCTTACATGTACGATGCAATGGCTTCTAGATCCAGCTCGTCCAGTACACGCAGCAAGTGGGGACCAAGGGTGGTCCGATGACGCCGACGACGCCGCATGTTGCATTTGCGTCGCAGGCGATCGACGTACCAGTGTTTTACACGCTCTTGAGCAGCCTCTTGCGCGAAGAGATTGCGGATTTTCCGATTTTGTGCCGGAATATCCACCCGGACGTCCTCTTGACGAGCAATTACCCGCCGATTGTACCGTTCTGGGGCCAGTACCGGCGCTACGACGGCCTCCTTTTGTACATTTCGGCGATCCTCGAGACGGTCGACGTCGAGTCGTTTGAGATGGCCGACATTGTCGAGCTCATTCCCGAGTCGTCCGAGTGTGCGACGCCGGACGAAGCCGCGATCCCGTACAAGAAGCGCCTCGTCGTCACGGGCAAGGAGACGTTTTCCATCAAGAACATGGACCCACCGCGGAAGATCACACAGCTCTTTGTCCACGAACTGTGGCTCGACTACAAGGACCGCCTCGTGCGGTGGCACATCAACGGCGACTCGGTCGTGCTCTCGGTCGCCTTTGACGCCTGCGACAAGGTGCGTCTTCATTCCGTCATCTCAGACGTAACCATCATGGGACGGTAGGGCAAGGGTCTCCGGCTCATGCTGCCTGGCGAGACGAGCGCGATCCAACAGGCCATTCCTCCTGGCAACTTTTACGTCCAAGTTCTCAAAGCGCAGTCGCTTGGGCTCCAGGACGCTGGCGACGCCAAGGCCACCGGGGTCTACGTGCGCTGCGTCGTTGTCGAGGGCACGCACGTCGAGCGCACATTTGACGGCCTCGACGGGTACCTCGCAAGCAGCTCGGACACATCGCCGTCCAAAGACGACGGGATGACCAAGCCGACGAAAGCGACGCGTCTCCTTCGCGGCTTGCAGCGCGCGACAGGCACGAGCATTGAGCGGCCGTACGCCCCGTACGGCGACAAGAGCGGGTGCGTCACGTCGATATCGACGCACAAGCCGCAGAAGGACGTCGAGTGGAACTCGAACTTGCGCCTCGGGTTTCCGGGCTGTCCACGCGGCAGCCACTATGTGCTCAAGATTGAGATCTACCAGAGCCGCTTTATGATGCACGACGTGCTCATTGGCGTTTGCAAGGTCAACTTGTCGCCGCACATGGCGCTCACGACTGCGTCGGCCGAGGCCAAAGCCAACGGCGCCCTCCCCCGCTGGTACAACCTCTGCGACATTTACCACGACTGCAAAGAGTGGTGGGCGCCGCCGACGGTCTTCCGCGGGCGTCTCCAACTGGCGATTGTGTACGCACCGAGCCACACCCCGGGCGCGACGATGCTGCCGTCACCCGTTGAAACGACGGCCACCGACACGACCGAGACGCTGCGCGAATACTTTAGGTACAGCGTCCTATCTTCTCCTACGGCATTGGACGCCTAAGAACGTAGTACCCAAGAGTCCAAGAACATCCCGACACCGCCCAACCCGCAGCACCAAAACCTCTTTGGCCTGGGCATGCCGTCACTGATCCGGTTTACGTCCAACCCGCACGCGCCGCCCGAGATGCTCCGTGACAACCACATCGTCATGGCCAAAAAGACGGCGTTCGACATGCCCGTGCGCTACCAGCTCATCAAGGTCCTCGGCTCGGGCAGCTACGGCGAGGTGATTGCAGCGAGCGACACGGAGACAGGCGCGTCGGTTGCGATCAAGAAGATTCCCCAAGCGTTCCGCGAACTCTTGGACACGAAGCGCATTTTACGGGAAATGTGCTTGCTCCGGCAGCTCAAACACCCGCACTTGATTCGACTCTGGGACGTACTGCGGCCGCCCCGCTGCGCCGAAATGGAGGACATTTACCTTGTGACGGACCTCATGGAGGCCGATCTGCACCGCATCATCCACTCGACACAGACGCTCAGCGACGAGCACGTCGCGTACCTCATGTACCAGATCTTCCGTTCGCTCAAGTATTTGCACTCGGCCAACATTGCCCACCGCGACCTCAAGCCCTCGAACGTCCTCCTCACGACGCAGTGCGAAGTCAAGGTGACGTGATGACACGTATATACACGTGTGACTCACAGCGACGTAGCTCTGCGATCTTGGCCTTGCACGGTCGCTTGGCACGACGGTCCGCGAGATCCACAACGACTTGACCGAATACGTCGTGACGCGCTGGTACCGGGCCCCCGAAGTCCTCCTCGACGGGTCTCGGTACGGCATTTCGCTCGACATGTGGTCGGCCGGCTGCATCATGGTACGTTTCGACGGAGATGACGCGTACTATACAACTACGATCTTAGGCCGAGATGCTGGGCCGGAAGCCGCTCTTTCCGGGCTCGAGCACCATCACGCAGCTCGGCAAGATCTTCAACGTGCTCGGGACGCCGCCGCCGTCGTACGTGGACAAGATGATCAAGCCCGCTGCAAAGAAGTGGGTCCAGCGCCAGCGGCCTCGGACCGCGATTCCATTTTCCGAGATTTACCCGCAGACGAACGCATTGGCGCTCGACTTGCTCACGAAGCTGCTCACGATCGACCCAGAGGAGCGGATTTCTGCGTCGGACGCGCTGCAGCACCCGTACATCACGTCATTGGGCCTATTGGCGGACGACGCGGTCGACACGTTTGTCGGCGTCATTGACGCGTCGCACGAAGTCGTGCCCGAGGTCAAGGCGGCGATGCAAGAGGCGGTATTTGAGCAGGTGTGCATTTTCCACCCGGAAGCGGTCGAGGCCGAGAAGCTACTGCACGCGCAAGACGTCCAGTTCCGCGTGAGTCCGCACAGCGGCCAGTTGAAGCCAACTAAGTGGTAAGAGGTTCCCGGTTCCGTCCACTGTTTCAAATTGCAGAGGCAAACAGCAATCTCAATGAAACGTACCAATCGCATTACACCTTGACGCGGATTGGTCGAAATCCAGTCGGGGACTGGCGACCCGGGGGGGGCTACTGGCCCGTCGAATGGCGTCAGGCGCGCTGATTGGCCAGCGTTGTATCCAATGGGCGACCATCGCATACGAACGCCAAGTGGTTTTTCAAAACGTTGAACCCACCGTGGTCGTACAGTGGACGTAGCGATCTTTCCCTCCCACGCACGTAATTCCCTCTCAAAGAGCATGCGAATCTTATCGAGTTTAAAAGGCATAGGGGGGTTTCCAACTGATTTGCGGGTGGGGGCCCCATAAAAATAGAAAATTCGAACGCGCTAGGCGGCGACAGTAGCTGTTGTGAAACGGAAGCCACAGGCCAAATCGTCGAGGATGGCAGACCAGGTCAAGATGAAGAGCCACCACCGGCGGCAGATCCCGGACTGGGAGCGCAAGTTCCAGTGCCCCCATCCGCTGTGCGGGAAGCGCTTCACGCGCAAGTTCTCGATGACCGAGCACATCAAGACGCACACGGGCGACAAGCCGCACGAGTGCACGGCCAAGGGCTGCGGCAAGAAGTTCACGACCGCCGGCAACCTCGCGCGCCACCGCAAGATCCACGACTGCGCGGCGAAGGAGGCCTCGAGCAACAACGAGACGTCGCCGTCCTCGACCAAGTCGTCGGCCGACGACTTTCACCCGCCGATGGACAAGGCGCAGCTGGCGCGCCGCCGCTTCTCGGTGCCGACGACGTCGGCCGATTTTTTCACACAGTACAAGCCCGCGCAGAGCGCGCTCCTCTTTGCGGATCCGTCGACCATTCTCCAAAACAAGATCGAGGCGACGCGTAACTTTGAGACGGGCGCGACCGACGCGGCCGAAAAGATGGGCCGCTTTGCACCGCCGCAATGGATGGGCGTCGACCTCGCCAACACACACCCGATCCCGTACCGGCCGCCGACGCACCAGCCACCGATGGCCCACCCGCGCAGCCAAAGCCTCACGCACGCCCAGCTGAGCTCGCAGCTCCAGGCGTTCCAGGCCAGCCTCCGCTTCGATCCGTCCACGTCGTACGCCGGGTCGCCGCACCGGATAAACATTGACACGCTGCTGCAAGACCCGGACGAGATGGACGACATCAAGGAAGAGGACGACGAGCATTTGCTCAACAACAACGCCAACAACAACGCGATGCTGTGCACGCCCAACCCGATGCTGCTGCCCAACGCGCCCGGCGCCGGCCTTGGACGTACGATTCTTTCTGCAATATGGGTACGCATGGGTGCTAATGGTCGATGCTACTGTGTAGTGGGCATGTCGTTCGAGCCGCAAAAACCCATGGGAATGCACCTCGCGGCGCCGCCCGCCGACGCTTTTGACACGTACGCGCCGACGCCGGAGCTCGATTTCGAAGACTCTGAAATCATCCAAATGCTGATTTCGGATCGGTCCGACGACGAAGTGCTCTCGCCCTCGTACAGCAGCAGCGAAAACAACAGCCACAGCCAGAACCACAGCCAGAACGAGTACCTCACGACGACGTCGAGCATGATGTTTGACATGCCGCCCGAGTGGCACCAGAAGACCGAGGCGTACCGGTCGTCGACGCCCGCCACGTACACGACCACGAACGGCGTTGCCACTGGCCTCAACTATTGCTCGGCATGAACACCCCATACTACTACAACTACAACTACGACTCGTCGATTTATATATAAACAAAAAACATGCTATTTTGTGCACAACTCGTCGTCGGCTGCGGGCGATTGGGCGTGTGATCGTTCGTGTTGACGGGATGGTCAACGGCCTGATAGCAAATGTGGTCAGAGCACCGTCGTTGTCGTCGTCGAGTGGCGCGAGTCGAGAACGCTGGCGTATGGGGTCGGCGCAAGTTCTTTCGCCGGGACAGGCGACGCGGCGCGGCGTCGCTCCGCCTGGCGGGCGCCAATGCGGGCGAGCGTGGCATGGTACTGCTGCCACGCGTAGTAGGCGTAGCCGCCAATGGCCGCGAGCACGGCGAGCGCGAGAAGATAGACGACGACGATCGCGCTCATTTTTTCGGCGAAATTTGCGCGTTCGTTTCTCTGCCGTTCTTAGTGCTGCATATTTTTACGCTCGCAGCTGCGAAAAGAAGGCAGAAAAAGGCTGGCCTCGACGCATACACCACTCTGACTCTCGGAGCTCACTCTCGGATGTAATGCCATCGGCCGCTCGTCGCATGACGAGGTGGCAAAGCGCTTGCGCCAGCTCGGAGGTTCGCGCGTCCGTCGTTGCGTCCAGTACACATGAAGAAGAGTAGGGGGCCCTACGCCACATACCCCTGCGCCGAGTATTATATACGCCCGGTGGGTAGTGTAATCTACGGCAGCCACTGCCAGTTGACATGTTGCATGCAATCCGAATCACACCCGCCCTCATGTTGCCCTTCAAAGGCAAGCGCCGACGTCAACTGCAATGCCCTCAACGAGGGTACTGATGACGCTACACGCTGGCTTTCCTCGGCGACTCGTAGAGTGTCGAGACTGGCGCTGTGGTCATTCGCTGCTGGCCTGCTAGTCGGCGATCGGGCATCTTGCGACTGCAGCGCGTGCAGACGCGTGCCATGGTCATCCGGATAACGCGCTGCCGGAATCCCACCACAAGAACACTGGGGCAAACTGTTCGGAGCTTCGATCTTCGACTATGAAGCTTGATGTTTGTATGGGCTTGTGCGAACTACGTGTGTGGGTTGAATGCGCAATGTCGTGATTGCCGATTCACGTGGGGAAAACTCTGCGGAATATCTTTTGCCCATTGGCATCGAGAGCCATTTCCAAAGAGCAAGATGGCCGCCAACTTGCAGCCGACGCTTGAAGCCGCCAAGGCGCTTGCGATCGCCCATGCGGACAAGAACCTTCTGCCTGTATACCTCGACGTGACGGCGGACCTCGACTCGCCCGTGAGCGTCTACCTCAAGCTCATGCAGCACCAAGCGCCGGGCACGCAGTCGTTCCTCCTCGAGTCCATCGCGCCCGGCGAGAACATTGCGCGCTACTCGTTCATTGGCACGAGTCCGTTCAAGATTCTGACGTCGGGACCCAACTGCGCGTACCAAGGCGACCCGCTTGTGCAGCTCGAGGCGGAAATGGCCGGCTTCCGCCTCATTGCGCTGCCGGAGCTCGCGCTCCCAATGACGGGCGGCGCCGTCGGCTACTGCAGCTTTGACGCGGTGCGCCACTTTGAGCCGACGGTCGGGCCGTTCGTTGAGGCGCAGAAGGACGTGTTCCAGATCCCAGAGAGCATGTACATGCTCTTCGACACGGTCGTAGTCTTTGACCACGTGTTTCACTCGCTCAAGATTGTGACGCACTGCCGACTCGACCATCCATCGCGGGACCTTACCGCCGAGTACGCAGCCGCGTCGGACCGCATCCGCTCGATCCAAGCGCAGATCGAGTCACCGCTACCGCGGTCCTGCAGCAGCTCGCATGTCAGCGACAAGATCGTCGGCGACGCCCTCGACTACAACGCCATGTCGAACGTCGGCGAAGCCGCTTACATGAGCTTTGTCGATACGCTCAAGCAGCACATTGTGGACGGCGACATCTTCCAAGCCGTGCCCTCCCACGTACGTTGCGTTGATTTCGAAATCTACTAACAAACGGACGCGTCTCTAGCGCCTCAACGTCCCGCTGCCCGAGAACGTCACGTCGTTCGACTTGTACCGGCAAATGCGCGTGATCAACCCGTCGCCGTACATGTTCTACCTCAACTTTGGCGACGGTCTCGAGGTACGCAAGACAGTTTGCATGAGGCAGGAAACTCATGGACGTGCGCACGTAGGTCGTTGGTGCATCGCCCGAGATGCTCGTCAAGGTCGACCAGAACGCCGTCGTCGAGACGCACCCGATCGCGGGGACGCGCCACCGCGGCAAGACGCCGGCCGAGGACCAAGCGCTCGCCGACGAGCTCCTCGCCGACGAGAAGGAGCGCGCCGAGCACATTATGCTCGTGGACCTCGGCCGCAACGACGTCGGTCGCGTCGCTGTCCCAGGCTCGGTCCGAGTCGAGGCGCTCATGGCGATTGAAAAGTACTCGCACGTCATGCACATTGTGTCGGTCGTCAAGGGCCAGCTCCGGCAGGACAAGACCATCTACGATGCCTACCGTGCGCTCTTCCCCGCCGGCACGCTCACGGGCGCACCCAAGGTCAAGGCCATGCAGCTCATCTGCGGCCTCGAGAAGGAGCGCCGCGGTATCTACGGCGGGTCGGTCGGCTACGTGAGCTTTGGCGGCGTCCTCGACACGGCCATTGCGATCCGAACGATCGTCGTCCACGATCGCCGCGCCTACTGCCAAGCCGGCGCTGGCATCGTATACGACTCCAACCCCGCCGCCGAGTACAACGAGACTATCATCAAGCTCGGGTCGGCGGTGCGCACCGTGCAAAAGTGTGCGCGGCAAAAGCAACTGTCATAATGTACATACATCGATATGGACGGTCGCTGCTGCGAAATGGAGAATGCGTATGGGTACCGCCACTTGCAGCTGCTTGCTACTATCGCCAAAGGTCGAGTGTCTTGACTGCAAGAGCGTTTTGTTGGTTTTTGGAAAAATCGAGCTTCTGCCATGTCCAATGGGCTGGCGGCGTGCATGACGTGGCACGACGCACGGGCTCCAAGGTGACGCGAAGGCAACCAAGGCGATCCGACGACGACGCATACCGTATGCATTAGACTACCGGAATGACTGAATGAAATGACTAGTGCAGTCGCGTAGAGGTTGGAGCCAACAGAGACATCATCATCACGGGCGCGCTTGGCTCCGGTTTGCCCATCGTACAATGCGCTGGACAAGCCGCAGAAGGAGCCGAGCGCCTGCTTTCCAGTGTGAAGGTATTATACGAATTGCAGTGGAAATGAATCTAGAGCAAGCAGCAAAAATTCACTAGCATGGTGTAAATGGCAGCTAAGAATGCTTTCGTTTCGGCGCTTCGGGAGCAAGTGAGACCTCTTGCAATGAATACCTCTGAGATCCGATAAATGAAGAATTGAGTGTGAAGGGACCTGTGAGAAACAGAATGGCTACCGACCGAAGAAACGGTCTCCAAACGATGGGAATTAGTGTGAGGCGAGACGCCGAGCGCTCATTTCCGAATTCGCCGACATGGAGTCGTTCCGCGGCCACGACCCCGCGGATGCGATGGACGCGCCGATGCCGCAGTCCAAGCTCAAGCTGCGTAAGAAGGCCGTCGACGACGACGCCGGGCCCGCGCCGGGGCGCAAGCGCGCGCGTCGGGAGAAGGACGTCGACAAGGCGTACCCGGACGACCGGTCCTCGACCGGAGGTCGCGACGAGAAGCCTGACGTCGTGGCCGCGCCAGCGGTGGGCGTACCTTTCCTCACAGCCTCGGGGCGCGACGACATTGAGGCCGGCAAGAGCTTGCTCGAATTGCTCCTCAAGCCGAGCCGGCAAAAGTCCAAGCGCCGCGACGACCGCACCGAAGAAGAGATGTTTGGCACACACGACATGACGCTCGTGCCGCCTGGCATCGTCAACAAGATGGACAAGCTCAAGGACGACTACGTGCGCTCGGTCGCGACGGAGCACACGCGGCATTGGATCCAGATGAGCGGCTTTGGCGACAGCTCCAAGTTTATGAGCAACTTGATTCCGGCGGTCGAGCCACAGTACCCGTGCAACTACCCGACGATCCTCGACGAGATTGTGGTCTCGTTCATGTTCAAGCGGCCCGAGGTACGCATCCTACGCGTCTCACCCATTGTTCTCAAATAAGATGGTGTAGTACACGGATATGTTGATCCGGACCGTCATCAAGCGCCACACTGAGCACGTCTACCCGGAGAAGAACCCGCTCGTGCAAACGATGCTGCAGAAGATTGCGCTGCTGCACACGGGCGAGCTCTTTGGCGACTCGGCCGCGACGACCCGGCACCGGATAGCGACCTTGGCGATCGTCAAGGCCTTGTTCCACAGCAACCAAGAAAAGCTGTACCTCAGCACGTGGATCCTCGACTGCTTGCGCGTCACGAGCCAAGACATGCTCGACGTGCTCGTCGCCAAGCTCCTCAACGCGATCGCATTCCTTCCGCTCATGCAGCCCGAGCCGCACGCGCTGCCGTGGCTCGCCATGTGGCAGGACGAGACGTGGTCCATCTACGACGGCGGCCACCAGCTCGTGGACCTTGTGCACCTCGAGACCAAGCACGACCCGTCGACGCGCCGCGTGACGCGCTCGATCGTCCGTGAGGCGCTTCTGCGCTTTGCCTACATGCCTCAAGGCCACTTTTCGTTCTTTGCGCCAGCGTTCCGCTCTTATTTATGCGCCGCGACGACCGACAGCCTCGCGATGCTCACCGACGTGGTCCCGAAATTCCCGCCTCGGTACGTCGCCGCCGACCCGCACCCTATCACGCAGCTCCTCGACCTCTTTGCCAGCGCGATTCCGCTCGCCAACGCATCGGACAATGCGTGGTTCCTCCTGCATCTCTGGCCGCTCGTGCTCACGTCGGACGACGCACCCGAGTTGCTGCCGATGGTCTTTACGCGCTACATGGCGTACGTCTTTGGCGGTCTCAACGACAAGAAGCTTCCGGAGCAACTCGGCTTTGGCCCGCACGTCGTCTTTGGCACCGTCGACGCGTGGCAGAGCCTCCGCACGTTTCTCGAGGCAATTCCGACGCACGCGACCAAGCGCCTCCCGACCATTCGGCGTGTCTTTGCCGCGTGGAAGGCGGCGTGGGCCGAGGCCACGGTGCCGCTGCACGTGATGCTGACGATGGTCGTCGTCTCGCTCTCGTTTGAAGCGACCGACGACACGTCTGCGGCGTACCACGCGACCATGACGGAGTTTCGAGCGCTCACGCTGTCGCTCTTGACGGCCAAGGCGGCGACGCTCTTTGCGTCTGGACCCGGGTACCTCGCGTTTCGCCATACGTTTCTGCAGCACCCGCGCGGCGTCTGCCCCAAGCGGCTCGCCCACGTTGTCGATACAGTGCTGGCGCAACTGCCGTTGGACGACGCTTCGTATGCGCTGGGCTTGCAGCAGACGCTCGTCGCGAGTTTGGCGGACGAAATGGAGCCCTTGCCGGGCGTCGCCTTCTTTGATTGGCAACAACACATTGTCCGGGTGCTGCCGAGCGGTCCGTCCACCATAACACACCCGCCACAGCCACTTTTGACGGTGCTCCTCTTGACTGAGCTCGTACGTTCTCCCACCTATCCTTTTGCTCACTATGGACTTATGATGCATTTGTGCAGGTGTCGACGGCGTCGCCATCGGTGGCCACGTTTGTTCAGCGCCAAGTGGCCACGTCCCCGGCCGTGTACGAAGCGCTCATTGCGCTCCTCTCGTCGATGGACCAAGACGTGGTCGATGCGACGCTTGGGCTTTTGCAAAACGTCTTGACGCGCTGGCACGACCTGGTGCCGGACCTCTGGACGCAGCCGCATGTACTGCAGACCATTGCGCGCCTCGCCCACCGCGCCGACGCACGCGGCGCCAAGACGCTCCTCGAAGCGCTGGTGACGCGTGGACCGCCGCGCGTGCCGCTGCTTCTCCTCCGGCTGTGCGTCGACGCGCTGCCGTCCCTCCCGGCCCACGAGATGCTTGCGTATGTGCACGACGTCCAGCTTGGGCTTGGGCAGACGCCGGCCGTGTGGGAGCCAGTGCTGCAGTTTGCATCGGCGCAGCTGCTATCGACAGCGACGGCGTACTGGACGGAAAAGTCGGCTGCCCACATGGGTCTCCTACTCCTGCGCATGCTGTACAAACTGCAGTGGCGGCCCGAGTACGCGTCCTTGCTGCCGTTTGCGCTTCGGACGCTTGAGACGTCGTCGGACGTCATTTGCGCGTTGCAGCTCGGCCTGCTTTACGATGTGGTCGCGACGGCACCGCGCGCCCAAGACATTGCGCCCGTCTTGACGTCAAGCAACGTGAGCTCGCGCCTCCAGCTGCTGCTCTCGCTGCCGCAACAGCGCGGACCGTCGGTCGTGGCGCTCGCAAAGCGCACGCTTGGCGCGCTCGAGACCAAGCCTTCTGCCGTAGCCTCATCATCATCATCAGGAAAGCTGCATCGTACCGACGACGACTAGAGTTATACAAAGATTAAATACCAACTGATTGTGGTCGCGCAATAGCGACCGTCAACTTCGTCGCAGCTGCCCATGTTTGCGAAAAGACCTACCCCTTGTCCTTCATGCAGGCAACTGAGAGCGAGCTCTTTCGTTACGAGGTTTAGAGTTTAGGAGGTTTAGCGATTAGGAGGTTAGGAGGTTAGGAGGTTAGGTTAAATGATGCAGCCATGGGCTTGGTTAGTTGTTTGCTTGCCGCAGTAGGTATCGCCCGAAGATTCACCGCCACAACCAAGCAGTACGACGAGCACAGAGTGTTGGTCGTTGATGTTTGTCGCTGGCTTTGGCATTTCCATTTTCGAGAGGCCAAGACGACGACGACGATGGCGGTCCGCGCTCGGTATGGCCTTCTCTTCCCGCGGTCCTCTTCGCTGGCGGCCATCGACGCGGTGCAAGTAGCGCTGGAGGCGCGGGGCCTCGTCGTCGTGCGCGAGACGATTGCCGGCGAGACGAGTCCGGTCGCGACGTCGTACCTCGCCAAGCACCACGCCATGGCGCTCACGGTGACCTGCAGCCACGCGCGCCTCGAAGCACATGCCGAGCGCCTCGGCCTCTTCAAGCCGCTCGCGGACTCGCCGTGCGCGCGCAGAGAGCCGTTTGTGGTGGCGCGCGGCGACACGTTTGCGCACTACGCCGAGAAGGACGGCCCGCACCGGTTCTTCTCGAGCAGCGAAGAGCTGTACGTACTCGGCGACCTCCTTGACGACGGCGTCGAGGGCCACCACGTTGAGATGTTGCCGCTCCACGACAAGCACGAGAAGAGTGTGCTTTGGCGCGACTTTTGCTGGTCGTTGTACCCATCCAACACGGACCTCGCCGACCGCATGGAGGCGTACTTTGGGTCCCAGGTCGCCTTGTACTTTGCGTGGCTGCACTACCTCACGATCTTCTTGGCCGGGCCCGGCGTCCTCGGCGGCCTCCTCACGCTCTACGAGTACCTCGCGGACGTCGACGAGAGCGACGACGTGGCGGTCTCGCCCTTCTTTACGCTCTTTATGGTGCTCTGGAGCGCGTGCTTTTTGCAGTATTGGCAGCGCCGGTCGGCTGCGCTCGCTTGTCGCTGGGGCCTCCTCGAAGCCGCGACCAAGCGCACGCTCCGCCCGGACTTTGTCGGCGTGCCCCACACCAACACGTTCTCGGGCGTCGTCTCGCTCACGTACCCGTACTACTACCGCGCGTTCAAGTACATATGGTCGGCGCTCGTCACGACCAGTCTCCTCTCGATGGCAGTCGGTATCATGGTGATCTCGCTCAACTTTCAAGGCTACATCCACGCCAAGTCGGTCGGCGGCGCGTACTTGCATTGGCCGCTCGTGCACCAATTTTCGCTGCCCGGCGCGGTCTTTGACCAGCAAGGCGGCGGGCCGCTGCCGTACGTGCTGCCGTACGTGCCCGTCGTACTGCACTGCTCGCTCATTCTGTTGCTCAACTTGCGCTACCGCAAAATTGCGTATGCGCTCACGCAGTATGAGAACCATGCGACGACCGAGTCGTTTGAGAATGCGCTTGTGCTCAAGCGCTTCTTTTTCGAAGCCTTTGACTGCTACATTGCGCTCTTTTATCTTGCGTTTTGCCAACTCGATGTCGTCTTGCTCAAGGCCGAGCTCACGTCCTTGTACATGGCCGACACGTTCCGGCGCGTCGGGCTCGAGACGCTCTTGCCGTTAGCCCTCAAGTACGTGGGGACGCGGCCGCGGGACGCAAAGACAAAGAAGGACGACGAGGCTGCAACGTCGGCCAAGGTGCAAGTCGTCAAGGAGGCGACCGCGTTCGACGAGTATGAGCCGTTTGACGACTACCTCGAAAAGGTCATTGAGTTTGGCTACGTCACGCTCTTTGCGTCGTGCTTTCCGCTCGCGGGGCTGCTCTCGATGGCATCGAACCTCATTGAGCTCAAGTCGGACCAGTTCAAGCTCATCTTTTTGACCCAGCGCCCGGCCATCGCGCGCTGCACCACCATTGGCATTTGGCAGTCGATTCTCGGAGGCCTCGTGTGGCTCTCGGTGCTCACCAACGTCTTCCTCTTTGGCTTTACGACCGACCAGCTCAGTCTCTTCTGCCCCTCGTGGTTTCAAACGATTCCGGTCGAAGACGCGGCGTTCGGTGGCGTCGACCATATTCATGTCGCAGCGTCGGGCCAGGGCATGACGGTCATGGGTTTTGTCTTTGGCGTCGAGCACGTCCTCTTTGTGCTCGTGTTTCTCATTACGAAGCTCATTCCGAGCGTCCCCGACAGCGTCATCGAAGAGACGGCACGGCGCCAACGAGCGCTCGTGCTCGCCAAGCCAGCGTCGTCCGCCGAGTCGGGATAGGTGTAGGGTTAAAAGCCTCTCTACGTGTAAGAAACCAAGGCGTTCTTGTCATACCGTTGCATTCTTGATGCAAAGTAGCACCGAGCACTCGTAGCTCGACGCGCATGGTCCCGTTTGCCTCGCCAGCTTTGAGAGTTCGTCGAGTTCAACTAGGTTGCGTGAAAATAGTCGAGTCGCCTCTGTGGGCTTGGTCGATCACCAAACGACGAGCTTGGTACGTCCCCGAGCCGCCCGTGTGACTCCCGATAACGCTGTTTTACGAAGATGAATCTAGCTCTAGGTGCCCCGACCGTCCTATTAGCCGGAGCTATTAGCCGATATTTCGCTATCCGCTTGTGGCGTAATGTCGTGATGCGGTTTGCACTTTCGAATGACGTGGCAGCGCGTGCAAGTACAACTGTAGGCAGTAGGGAAAAAGACTTCGGGTAGGCAGCATTGTGTGTGAGGATCAGCAGAATTGAATTTGCCCCGCCGCCCTCACATACCGCCTCCAGCTTCAGTACACGGTCGTCGGCCTCGACGCCGACGCCACGGGCCACCGATGCCGACCCCGATTTGATGAGACTCTCTGCACACACTGTGCCTGCACTGGGCGCTTTTGCTCGCGCGCGCCATGGCCCGACGCGCTCCGCGTCCCGCTTTTGGCCCGACGCATCTCGGCCGTCTCTTGGCCCGCTCGGCGCGTCGATGGATCGCGGCTGCGAGCAGTTTGTGTTCCGCGCCTTGGCGCTGCACGGATGGATGCGCATCGGGTACGCCGTCGTCATGATGCTCAACCGC